CTTTATAGGTACCCGAGGGGGATTGGTTTTGCTGCGGCTGCGGCTACTGCAGCAGCTGCGGCTCTCAGCTTTCAGACGAAGAAGCTTTGGTGTGTTTTAGGGTTTAGGGTTTAGGGTTTAGGGTTTAGGGTTTAGGGTTTGGGGTTTAGGGTTTGGGGTTTAGGGTTTAGGATGCCTTTACAATACTCTTCTTGTTTTTTTAGGGTTAAGAATTTAGAGTTCAATGTTTTAGGGTTTTAGGGTTTAGGGTTTAGGGTTTAGGGTTTTAGGGTTTAGGGTTTAGGGTTTAGGGTTTAGGGTTTGTGTTCAGGACCCGAGTAGTTTTTATTCATACCGTCATCGTCTTTGTATAAACTGCAGGAGAAATTTAACAAAAAAAAAAGAAGAAAAAACTTCTGCTGCTGCTGCTGCTGCTGCTGCTGCTGCTGCTGCTGCTGGTGCTGCTGCTGCTGCTGCTGATGTTTCTTCTCCTGTGTTTTCTTCTCCCTCCTCCTCCTGTCCCTCTTCTCCCTTTCTCTCTTCTTTTTCTTTTTCTTCTTTTTCTTCTTTTTCTTTTTCTTTATACGCTGCATGCAGCCAACAAAATAAAAAAAATAAAATATGTGAAGTTTGTATAAAACCCTTCGATACAAACCACAAAACCCTAAAAAAATATGTATTCTGCTCCCTCTGTAGAATCTGTAAACCCTTATAAACCCTAAACCCTTATAAACCCTAAACCCTTATAAACCCTAAACCCTTATAAACCCTAAACCCTTATAAACACTTATAAGCACCCTGATGATCCCTTATAAACCCTCATAAACCCTAAACCCTTATAGACCCTTATAAACCCTCAGTAACCCTTATAAACCCTTGTAAACCCTTTTAAACCCTAAACCCTAATATAAACCCTAAACCCTAATATAAACCCTAAACCCTTATAACTTCTGCTGTTATGATAGATGTAGTAATTGCATGCAAAGGCAGAGCGAGAAATATTACAACAAATATAGGGTTTAGGGTTTTAGGGTTTATGATTTTTCTAGGGTTTAGGGTTTAGGGTTTAGGGTTTGGGGTGTATGTACAGGTGTACACGCAAGCTGCGCTGCAGCAGGAGAAACCCCCGGGGAGTTTATTTGTTTTATATGCAGCAGCTTGAATGAGGACTTTAACAGAGAAGCAGAACAAAACCCTAAACCCTAAACCCTAAACCCTAAACCCTCATAAACCCTTATACACCCTTTTATACCCTTATATAAACCCTTGTAAACCCTAGACCCTTGTTTTATAAACCCTAAACACCAATCCCTCTAACTCTAAGCCCTAAACCCTAATAAACCCTAAACCCTCATAAACCCTAAACCCTAAACCCTTTTTAGGGTTTGGTTTAGAAAGGGTCCTTTGGCCGTTTTTATCTCTCCTGGGGGCCCTCGGTATCTTTTGTTTTTTTTTTTAATTTTATTATAACAAAAAAACTAAATGAAATAAATAAATAAACACCACGTTGTTGCTGCTGCTGTTGCTGCTGCTGTTGCTGCTGCAGCGCAGCAGCAACAGAAGAACTTGCTGCTGCTACTGCTGCTGTATATATAAATTTTTATATATATATCTTTCTCTCTATCTTTATATATCTATATCTACATTTATATATATATATATATATATATATATATATATATATATATATATATATATATATATATATATATATAAACATATATATATATATATATATATATATATATATATATATATATATATATATATATATATATATATATCTATCTTTCTCTATACACATATATCCCTTTACTTATTTTATTTTATTTTATTTTTATTTTATTGTATTTTATTTTATATTATTTTATTTTATTTTATTTAATAAATTAATTTATAAGATATTTATTTCAATAAATAAAACAACAAAATAAATAAATAATAAACAAAACAACAAAACAAATAAATAAAAAATAAACAAAACAACAAAACAAATAAATAAAAAAATAATAAAATATAATTTCGCAGCCCCAAAAGAGAGAAAAAAATTGGGGTGTATAGTCAGTTAAGATATGCATGCGCGAGTGTTTCTGCTGCTGCTGCTGCTCCTCCTCCTCCACTCCCGCTGCTGCTGCTGCTGCTGCTGCTGCTGCTGCTGCTGCTGCTGGTAGCAGCATCAGCAGCAAGCAGCAGCACAACAAAGACAAGAAGGTGCAAGAGAGAAAAATATAAAAAAGCAAATATACGTGTAGCTGGGGAGGAGAGCAGCATGCGCCCCCAGATCAATACAATACGTTCTCCTATATTCCCCCGCTGCTGCTGCTGCTGCTGCTGCTGCTGCTGCTGCTGCTGCTGCTGGATGCATGCAGCAGCAGTATTGGGGCTGGATAAGCTGCGGCTTGTCTCTGCTGCTGCTTTCATCACACCACTAGCAACAGCAGCAACACCTCTTATAAAACCATACGAACTCTTTCTTAACTTTATTGCTGCTGCATGCGCTTTGCTGCTGCTGCTGCTGCTGCTGCTGCTGCTGCTGCTGCTGCTGCTGCTGCTGCTGGGTTTATAGCGGGAGACAAGAGGAAGAGGCGTGCTGCTGTCTGTCTCCTCAGTCTCCATGTCGCTGTCTCCTATTGCTCCACTGCTGCTGCTGCTGCTGCTGCTGCTGCTGCTGCTGCTGCTGCTGCAGATGTCGTTATACACCGCAACGCCCCAGCGGTTCCCTGCTGCTGTTGCTGCTGCTGTTGCTGCTGCTGCTGTTGCTGCGCCTCTGATGTTTGAGGCTCGAAAGGCGTGCAGCTGTTGCTGCTGCTGCTGCAGCAGCATTTGTTGCTGCTGCAGCTGCTGCTGCTGCTGCTGCAGCCGCTGCTGCTCATCCAATGCAGCACATCTCCATTTATCTTTCTCCTGTATACACCCCAAACAAGGAGCTGTATATACACCCTAAACCCTAAACCCTAAACCCTAAACCCTAAACCCTAAACAAAAGCTGCTGCTGCAACAGAAAAAAAAAGAATAAACAAATAGGTTTATTAGGGTTTCATTTGGGGTGTACATGCACATCTATATATGTAGCTAAACTTCTAGGGTTTAGGGTTTACTTATATATATATATATATATATATATATATATATATATATATATATATATATATATATATATATA